TTGAGGCAGTCTTTAAGGAAGCAGTGGATATGGCTGAGAAGCTGTCTCTAGAGCCCATTGCTCTACCTCGAACACATAGGCCCCCAAAGAGATATTCTGGGCCAGCACCTGCACACAGGCCAGAATCTGCTGTGGAGTACCACAGAGTGGAGTTCTACAGAGTCCTTGACAAAGTAGACACACAACTTTCTTCATTTGAGGCCATTTATTGAAAAGCCATGTAAAGTACTTATTTACAAATTTGTTTTTGTATATATGTAGGCAGGGGCGGATCTAGAAAAATATTTATGGGGTGGCAAGAGGGGGGCAGGAATTTTTTAGGGGTGGCAACATATTGCATTTGTTTACACTGAATTTAATCACAGTTATCACAGTTTGGTGAGAATAGTATGTACAGTACTAGTGTTTCATGTGAAACAGTTCATATTAATAATACATCGTACAATGTGATCTCACTTAATAGGAGATAGAAGAACGATAACACTACTTCTAGAGGGGCCTTATGACAGGAAATGTATTAAGGTGAGACACAGGTGCTGAGTAGTAGATGTGTGAGATTGACTGTCAGAGAGGCAGCTTTGCAGCATTTGCACAAGAAGAAACTATAGAAAGAAAAAGTTCCCCATCAGAGATCTATGGACTGAGCTGCACTAAAGTGAGCAGAACTACACAGTAGAAATAAATGGGTCAAGGCACCCGAACAAGGTACTGGACATCTATGTAATGTTTACTCTGAACACACATTTACCCCATTTGTTCCTCAGTAACTTGCAATACAGCAGTTAAGGCAACATGAAAGGGACATTTCATGCATGTAGATCTGCTGTAGATAGAGCTGTATATGGAGGACCAACTCTGCCATATTTAAAAATAAATACAGAAATAAATAAATGCTCAATAAATAAATAAGCATACAATTAATTGCCACCAAAAATACAACCAACAAATAAATGTAATTAGAAATTATATTATAATGGCAGGCAGAAATGTTAAAAGGGCAGGCAGAAAGAAATAGCGGCGAAGAAATAACTAGGGTAAAAAAATACAAACGAAGAATAAAACAGACAAAAATATGATAACATGCACATAAATAAATACTTAAAAATATAAGTAATTAAAAAATAAAGTGAAGATAATAAATGACAAAAAAATACATAAGGTAAATATTAAAAAGACAAAGAAATAAAGAAGCCAATTAAAAGAGTTATATACCTGTATGACTAGCTGTATAATTTAATTTCTACTTACATTTATTTGTTGTTTGTATTTTTGGTGGCAACTAATTGTATGCTTATTTATTTATTGAGCATTTATTTATTTCTGTATTTATTTTTAAATATGGCAGAGTTGGTCCTCCATACTGCTGTATCAACAAATCAACAAAAAGGCGGGTTCTGTATGTTACATCAAAATCTCCACAAATCTGAAAAGCAGCAACATAAAAATACATTTTGCTTGTGAGTAGGTTCATACAGGTCATTTCTGGATAATTTCATATTATATATACAAAAAAGAAACAACAACACTGCTTCATATTAAGCAGGATTTACACCAGTATCACATTTTTAACATTTAACACTTTTGGTTTTATTAAAGGAAATATCAGATTTTCTCAGGAGCCAAAACTAAATGTAGCAGCTCTGTAAAGGTTCACCAGAGAGCACAACATAAAGTTAACATGACTTTAACAGCTGAATGCGGCGATTTCCATGTTGCTCAGCAAAACGCTTCACAAATTTATTTAGATCCAATGCCTTTGTGCGTTTTGATTTGAGTACAACCAAACTTGATCGTCTCTTTTCTGTCATAGTTGATCGCAAATATGTCTTTATGAGCCTGAAACGTCAGGCCTAACTAACATCATAGTTAGAGAAATAACGTTCTGCAACCTGATTTTTATCATCTCAAAATCAACATTGCAGCTATGCTAGCAACATTGTGCTTTCATTATGATTTCATTTCTCGATAGATAGTTAATCATTTTCTACCTGTTTCATCCCGTTTCTCCTCTCCCCATGACCCCTGGCTCCCTATCTTTGCCTCATTTGGTTTTCAAAACAATCAGTCTCAGTCACTCTCGCGTCATCTCGTGCTGCATTCACTGCAGTCCGACATTGGAAATTAGCGGTCGTAATTCTCAAATTATCCATAATTTATAAGCCTCGCCACCCCTACCGCCAACTGGGGTGGCAGCTGGGGTGGCAAGGCTGTCATTTAGGGTGGCAGTTGCCACCCTATGCCACCCCAGTAGATCCGCCTATGTATGTAGGCTTTGCTGTTCGTGTTTCTGTGTGTTTACAGCCTGCACTTAAAGTCAGTCCATGTTTAACCTCTTACACCCTAAGGGGGTATAAATACATTTCTGCCTGACAAAAACACACAAAAGTAAATAACTTATAGCCTCAAAGCTATTAGATTTAAGAAGAAACTTTTGGTACGTCTGTAAAGGTAAGATGTCATAGAATGGTTTTCTGGTGTCAGCGCCATTGTAGCTTTGACCCTGCCTGAAATATTAGGGACAAAATACAAATATTTTGCATTTTTTGAACCTCGCCAAAATTTTCTTTGAAATAAACATTGCAAAACACTACCAAAATATTATTTATAGCACAAAAAAGTAGTACAGACTTTCAAATCTAAATCTTGTGTAAAAATATACCAAACTTGGACTCAATCAGATGAATCATATTTATTTTAGAATGGTATTAGTGAGAAATTTCTTAGGCGGAGAGGCCATTTTGCCACATTTATCCATAAATGTCACCAAACTGTGCCAAATATGTTATTTACATCAATACTGGGGGTTTGGTAAAACTACGAGGTCATGTAGCAGCTGGACCCGCCGGTGGGTCCGTAGGGTTCAAGGGGTTAAATAAAACCTTTTTTTTTTCACACGTCATGTGGCATGTTTGGTGTGTACTTGGTACCAATACATGTTATTTTCTTGCAATGATGGGCAATTAAGATTGATGGATTGTCATAGCTGAGTAATAGCCAGTAATAGTAACTGTCCCCCACAGTTTCAAAAACCTATCTGCGCCCCTGCACTGAGCCTGGTTCTGCTGGAGGTTTCTTCCTGTTCAAAGGGAGTTTTTCCTCTCCACTGTCACTACAAGCATGCTTAGTGTGAGGGATTGACTTTGGGTCAATGAGTCGATGCAATCAACTGTTTTTTCCTTAGATAGAAAGCTTAGAATCAATTTGACTGTATGATCTGGTGAATTGTAAAGTGCCTTGAGATGACATGTGTTGTGAATTGGTGCTATATAAATAAACTGAATTGAATTGAATTAGTTCAGTGAAAGGTTGGAGTCAGAGAAAAAAAAATATGCAAGAGGGGGTCACTCTAATGGCTGAAAGTTGGAGGGGATTTTGTTGGGAGTTGTAGGGAAGTGGGCTGCCATTTGACTTGGAAGGGACATTTTGAATGGCTTCTACTGCATGTATGAAACTAATTTAAGCTACAGACTTGGGTGTTAATAATTTTTGTTTTGGATGGCCGTTTTAATGCATTGATATTAAAGTGAATTTTCTGTATATGTAACATCTTTACTCTTCGGCTGTAACTTTAGGCTGCATTTCCTGCCTGCCTTCTGAGTACCTAAATATAAATAATCTGATGCATCCCTGAATGTCATATATTTATTTTTCTTATTTTGATTTTAAATTTAAGAAATACATATGAAAAAAATCTCAGTTTTGACTAATACATAATACTTGCAAAAAAATAAATTTGTGTTTCATCTCTGTGAAATCATCAAGAAAACATTTTTTTTCTACTTCCTGGAATATATATAAACAAAAATTGCATGACATAGATATTTTCACTAAGTTATATTATTTATTGATGGTTTTCATCATTAATGACAGACTTTAGGATATATTTATTATACTTATCTGTCTTGTAGCTAAATGTGCCAAAGTAAGTTAAAGAACTTCCAGTAAGAGATTTGATGCAATAAGCCGCGCGTTTTCTAACTTCATTCTCTCTGTTATAGTTTACCAGCTTTTTAAACCCGAGGCCACCATCACTGATCCATTTGTTGTTATTCTGCCACATTGCTTCCAAGTACATGCTCCACAGGCCGCGTACTGGCTTTAGTTCTTTAGTAATGAGCAGCCATTCACAGATCTAGGAGGGCCTCTCTATGGTGATGGAATGCCACTTTCCTTTTTAGGGGTATTGTGGTAAATCCTGGACTGAACCGTAATGAGGGCATCATCGCTGCCTTGTCGGCATACAAATGAATGGAAAGCAGGTCAGTGGGGGAGAGAGAAAGAGGATAGAGTTGAGGAGATGGGAAGTTGAGCCTTGTTTGGCGGGTGTTAGGAAGCTATGTTCACTTTGATGAAGAACAGGCTATTGCGTCCCTTCTTTCACTTTGAAATGTCTCACAGGCCGATGGAATTACGCAATGGAAAATTTAAGCGAGCTTAAACTAAAACGGGTTTGAAATATAAACAGACATTGCGTGTCTGAATAAATGTGTGTGGGGGGAGATCAAAAAAGTACAAGACTAGCATTTATTGGGATATGGCTTTAAACGCCACCATGTGTTGTTGCAACTGTGAAAATATCCTCTCCGTCCCCTTCCTGCCCCTCTGATAGACATCTAACAGAACAGAATAAGAGTCAGTGGTAGTGGAGGCAAGGGAAGTGATATTTGCAGCGCCGTCACAGCCTGTTGATACAGCTGCACCTTACGAGATATTTGAGTCTCCGAATAGGACTGAGACTTCTGAACATGTGATGTTTTTGTGCCAATGCCAAATTGAAACAGGGCTGGGTTTTGTTTGGCCACGACTGTAAGTTATTGGAGCCCATCCTTTGTGTGGGTTCTTCTGCATACTGTACATACTGTACTGCATCACTGGAAACATGTTGGTCTATTGTATGTGTTTTATTGTTTTAATCCTCCTATATTGATTGTGTTTTGCATAATTTGTCTTTTCTTTTTCTTATTTTCTAATCCATCCATCTATTCCTCTGCTTGCATCAGCCTGCTATCCTCCATCACATACCCTGCAGCGTCAGAGATGAGGCACCCAGAGAGCTACATATCCGCAGAGAGTGAAGGGGAGAAAGTGGAGAGGAATGGGAAGAAGGTGTGTTTTAATGTGACAGGAGATGAGCAGGAGGACTCTGGACATGACACTATCAGCAACAGAGACTCATACAGGTAAAACTAAAGTCACAAACCAAAGAGGGCTCTAAGTAACTTGTTCCCACACATATAATATATATTCAGCATTATTGATACTAAAACCCTAATGTTTTAAACATTTATTTGCAGCTATGCATTTGGTAAATTTGTTTAAATCTGTATATTTTAAGCAACATTGACTAAAATCCATTTATATTCAACTATGTAAAATTAAAGAGGCTTTATAGTTGTCTCAGAAAGCTGCCACCTGTGGCCAAAACACAGAACTGCAGCACTCTCCTGTCCATTCTTGTAGCTCGCGCTGTTACTTAGCAAGGTTGATGTCACCTTAACATGGGCGAACTTGACGTCACATCCGGAGAACAGCATTGGGACTTCCGACTTTAAGTACATTCAAAACAAATAGGCTGCAGGCTAAAACATGCATCGGGGCTGAACAACCAAGGTGTCAGTTTGCTCATCAAACAATGATTTATTCATAAAAGGACAAATAAAAAAACTCCCAAAAAATGTCTCTTTATATTAAGATAATATGAGCACAAATTTATTAGAGTAAGCAAAACTACTGGAGGAAATCTGAGACGAGTTAGATTAATCTAAACTAAGGTGAGGCTAGTTAGATTCAGTTCAACTAGTTAAGCTGACTTTAGCTAAGTTAAACTTTGCTAAACTAATGTGTTAACCTAAATTTATTAAGTTTGAGTTTGGTTAAGCTAAGATAACAAATTATGTTTTTAAATGAAGTTTAGCCAAACTGAGCAAGGCAATTTATTTTTATGCAACTTGGGTTGATGTGAGATGAAAACTAAGGTAAAACTAAATTGCTTTAAGCTTAACCTCTTACACCCTCAGGGGGTATAAATAAATTTCTGCCTGACAAAAACACACAAAAGTAAATCACTTATTGCCTCACAGCTATTAGATTTAAGAAGAAACTTTTGGTACCTCTGTAAAGGTAAGATTTCATAGAATGGTTTTCTGGTGTCAGCACCATTGTAGCTTTGACCCTGCCTGAAATATTAGGGACAAAATACAAAATAATTTGCATTTTTTGAACCTCGCCAAAATTTTCTTTTAAATAAACGGTGCAAAACACTACCAAAATATTATTTATAGCACAAAAAAGTAGTACAGACTTTTAAATCTAAATGTTGTGTAAAAATATACCAAATTTGGACTCAATCAGATGAATCATATTTATTTTAGAATGGTATTAGTGAGAAATTTCTCAAGCGGAGGGGCCATTTTGGCACATTTATCCAAAAATGTCACCAAACTGTGCCAAATGTGTTTTTTACATCAATACTTGGGGTTTGTTAAAATTACGAGGTCACGTAGCAGCTGGACCCACCGGTGGGTCCGTAGGGTTAGGGTTAACTTAATTAAGCTTCTGATATGAAATCATGACAAAACAAACTTGTATACCTTTTAACTGTGTTATAAATAAATCATAGTAAACTAAGCAATGATAAATTGTAGGATTGTCTGATTCTGTGTTGGCCTCTCCACAAAATAAAACTCTTTAACAGATATGTAAAGCTGGATCAAAAGAAAGAAAAAGAGATGATGGAGAGAAAAAAATAGTACGACAAAACCCAAAAAATTGTATCTCAGTTGAATTGTGAAATTTAAACAATAAAAATCTAACTTTTGAACAGGCACTCTATTTTCCCCCATATTAACACAGACTCTTCAGCAAACTGCATACACCCCGCTGAAAAGATACATAGTGGCAAACCAAATCTTATTATATTCTGTACAATGACAATGAAGCATCTTCTAAAAATCAGATTAACTGATATAAGCTCAGTTTATGTCTGTCCTAACCAAATTAAGCAGTTTTTTTTTATTAGACTCCATGTTGAACAATTTCAATAATAATTCCTGTTAAACTATGTTCTGACTTTTCCTCAGTGACTGTAACAGCAACAGGAACTCCATTGCCTCCTTCAGCAGCCTCTGCAGCAGTCACTGCAGCTCCTACGCTCACAGTGATGACATGGACTCAGGTGCACAAATACAGAAGATTAATTGCACTCCCACAGGAGGGCGTAAAAAAGAGTTTATTTGCAACAGCTTGATTGGTAGCTAGTATTAGAATGTTGATAGATCTAAATTGCTCTTTCTTTTGTTCAGAAAAATAAGTGACAAAAAAGTACATTTCATTTACATTATAGTAAAAGAGTATTAATAAAGTTAAGGGACTGATGCGATCCTGATGCATGGGAAGTTACATTTGCATTTTTGCAGGAGATGAGATGCCATCTAGTGTGTGGCTGTCCCATGACAAGGAAAGGAAACTACATGGCTTCTTAGAGCATCTGTTCAGCCAGGTGAGTCGAGTAAACATGGTAAAATGTGAAATCATCTGCAATCCTATTCCTACAGAAGAATTTTCTTGCAGCCTAAAATATTTTCCTATTATCCTGCTGGTTGAAGGGAAGGACATTTCTGTGATGAATGTTTATCTTTTTTTAAAGGGCAACTGTTTATTGAAACATTGGTTATTTTTGTAGCCCCAAGTAGGGAAGGTAGGACTAACTTGATATTTGGTGTAATTTGAACAACGATGGTCCATGAAGGTATTTGCATCAGTAGTGAAATGAGAAAACAGAACAAAGCGTTGCTGCAAATTGTTGCTGCTTCCTCTTATTTATTGTGAATTAGGCATTGTCCGCAGCTCTGTTTACACCTGCATCACAATCTGTTGGGAGGAGTGAAGGGCAGGTGTTAGTTATGCGTAGGCAGCTTTTTTGTTTTGTTTTTTGCTTTCCAGCACTAACTTTCCAATCTTGCCACAGTGGGAGACTATATCAAGTGTGCTATGTTTGACCTGTCTCCTTTCTTCAGGTGGACTCAATCACCAGCTTGCTGAGAGGAACAGGGGTGGCTCGGGCTTTTGAGCAGACAAAATGCTTCACACCTGCAAGAGGACTACAAGGTAATATGATAAAAGTATTCAAACACTGTGTTACTTTACTTCTCCAGCTATGACTGGGACATCTGTTGACCTTTGAACTCTTCCATGTGGCATTTGCAACACATTTTTTTTCTGGCAGTTTCTAAAATTTCAACTGCTCCTCCTGGGAGACTTATCCCCTGGTGTGGGCCTGAGTGGAGGGGATTCTAAAAGCCTCTCAGGGCCAGTATTGACCTAAAAGAAAGCATCGGTCTGCTATTTCCTCTTGTATCCTCAGATGTAGCTAAACACATGGAAAGAAGTGCTGTAGATGGATTCCAGACAATCAGATATAAATACTTATCCATTGCATTTCTACTCTATTATTTTGTTTTGAGTAGAAATACTGCACATTCATCACAAAATAATTATATCTGCTGAAGTTTTTTTTTTTTTACATGTTATTACATTACAGTTTTACTTGTGCAATCCGCTATTTTAATTGGGTAGTCACATCTTGGCAAGTTAGTTATTGTGTCCTAATTGGATCATGGATTGATCTGTGAGATTTTCATAGCTGGGATTTTGTTTTGTAACTTTTCTTCAAGGTTCTCCACAACCTTATAACTGACCTGTCTGCTGTGTTTCATGGTCTTTGTTGACTAATATGAGTCTGATGAGAATGATACTATTTGCTTCATGTTTTATATACAGAAAGCAGAGAAAAATGGTTGTACAAATATAAATTTGTGGAAGGAAATGTGGAAGAAAAGGGCTAAATTTACCCTTACCGTTTCCTTCTGCCAATACAAACTAGCTGACAGCGTTCTTTCATCAACTGAGGAACTTTCTTCAGATGGCTCGACCCAGTTCTCAGATAAGAAACCAAAAGAAAATGTGTGTGTGTGTGTGTGTGTGTGTGTGTGTGTGTGTGTGTGTGTGTGTGTGTGTGTGTGTGTGTGTGTGTGTGTGTGTGTGTGTGTGTGTGTGTGTGTGTGTGTGTGTGTGTGTGTGTGTGTGTGTGTGTGTGTGTGTGTGTGGTGTAAGCATCCTTCTCAGAGAGTCATTTATCTTCAAAAAGGAACAAAAGTCTGTCTTGTCTTGCGCTTGACTCCATCCCACCACGCTAAATTCCCTACATAACAAAGTCTCTGTGTCCTCCAGCAGCTTTAATGCACAGCGGTGAGTACTTTATGCAAAACAGCAAACTACCCCGCTATTTTGTATGTTTTGGATAATTCAAGCCTCCAGACACCTTGGCCCATTTGGCACACCGTCTTCCTCCTCATCTCCATCTCTCTTCAAGCGAGTGCAGATATGCTTGAACTGAAAATAGAGCTGCTTCAGGAGGCATGTCAGAGCTTTAACATCGCTGATCTGTCCCAACATCAGTAATGTGTGATTGATAATAAAACAAGTATGGTTATCTAACAAGTGGAGCATTCCTGCATTTGATTGCACATGCATATTTTCACTTTGACAGACCCGTTATTGTTAAATCTTATTTTCTGTCACTCAAACTCTTGCAGGTCTTTTCAGATCCTTTAAAATTATGTGCATGTGATTAGCAGTGTAGTTTTTGACAGCCACCTTAGATTTAGTCTTGGTCATCAGGATGAAAACTATTATTAGTCTTAGTCGCATCTTAGTCATTACTATATGTGTTAGTTTTTTGTTCATTTTAGTCTACTAAATCTTTAAAATGTTTTAGTCTAGTGTTAGTCAGTTTAATTGTGTAAAAAAAGTTCAACTTAAAAATTTCGAAGAAACCAGATTCTTTACTAGACTGACAGCTCTTGCCTAGATACTACAATTGCTGGATATAGAGTGCTGAAGGTCATTATTGCTTTTGGGCAGAAAACCTTGATTTGTAGAATTTGAAAAAAACATTTTCATTAATTAATGCCCTATTTCATAAAAATAGTGTCTCATAAAAGCTGTGAAAATAGCAGCTCTAGTTCAACACATCTTAGAACCTACATAATTGCCTTGTAATGCCATGGCAATCCAGGCCTAAATTGAATGAATATGCTAACTAAAATGTTTAAATATTTAAAGGAAACATATAAAATGTTTTAATGACGATACAAGGAAACATTTACATCATATTTAAATAGATAGAAATGATAACAATGAGAAAGAAATATTCAAAAATCTATGTACCTTTTCATCTGTGTCTTTATCCAAAAATAAACAGAATGCAATGAAATATTTTCTTTGGATATAATTTAGAGATTCCTTTCGGTAAAAATTAAAGAAATTACATGTAGTTTATTAAGTAGAGGAAGCAGCAAGAGACATAGTGCTGAGAGCGAACCATCAGAGAGGAGCGTGAAGCGCAGACTCGGAGCTACACCCGTGCAAAGATGCACAAGCTAGAAGGTCAGTTTGTCCGGACCATTCCGGTTATTTTCTTCCCTGCTGCTGCTGCCATGATCAATCTGTGGTCATGCCGAATGTGTGGCTCGTTTTTTGGACATTACGCTGAAAGGAAAGGGAGAGAGACATGTGGCAAAGGACCACAGGTCGGATTCCAACCATGTCGAGGACTAAGGCCTCCTACATGGATCGTGTGCGCTGCCCCACCAAATTACGCCCTAAAACTATGCATTTTAAATCTCTGACTGCTAAATTTTATTTAGTCTCGGTTATGAAAAGAGTCATCAAAGATCCATGTTTAGCTCGTCAGTTTTTGTTATTGTCATGACAAAAAAGGAGTGTCAATGAAATAGTTTTGTCATCGTTGAAGAAAACAACACTGGTGATTAAAGATTTTTCCACTTATATATTTAGAATAGTCGTGACAGAAGGAAACTTTGAAGGGCTTATTTTTGTCACTCACAGCAGCCTTAGCATGGGGATCCCTTTATGTTGGCGGGTTAATCAGAAGCTGAACTAATGGATCAAAGGCCGAAGGGTTCAAAGTTCAAAGCTGCGGCTCAGAACCAGTGTGGTATGGCTCGGCGGCTGATAGCAGCTCCTTGGCAAACAGCAATTGGGCCTGGCTGTACAGTGGGTAGACTACAACTGGAGAGTTTCTCATCTGCTTCAGCAGGCGGGTTCACAAAACACTTCTTACATCATCGACATTTGATCCTCGTCATTGCAGGATTTTATTGTTTGCAACTTTTTGTGTTGGTTTGTTTTGGAGTTTGCATCAGACTTGTGTTTGCAGCTCTTTTGGCTGTTAACTGCGTCCTTTCACTTGTCTGCCACCAAACAAGACATATAGAAGAGATGTAAAACTTATGGAAGAAATAGCCCTCTGGTCAGATGCAGCTTGGCCTATAGCCAAAACACTAAAGTGGTGGACAATCAGGACAACAAATCAACAAATCAGTTGTAATACTTGTATTTAGTAGTATGGCCATCTGAGGGACAGCTAGTACTGCAAACCTGCTGGAAGACATTGTCTTTCAGTCCAAGGGTTGTTGGTTCAAGACCTGTTTTAGCCTTCCTTTGCTACTTAACCAGTGTTTTGGCCAATGTGACCAATTTGTATTGATTTTTCCCTTTTACCAATATAGATTGGGTAAAAACACTGCCTAATTAGATTGGTTGGTTTAATCAAAAGATTGGTTGGAAAAATAATAATAATAATAATACATTTTATTTAACAGCGCCTTTCTAGACACTGAAGGTCACTGTACAGAAAATAAAACTGAAAAAACAAATACAGAAACATAAAGGCAATTATAGGGAGGGACAAGAGCAATGTATTTACAAATAAGGAAGCTGGAACAGATGGGTTTTGAGTACGGTTTTGAATAAGTAGAGAGAGTCAATACTGCGGAAGTCAGGAAGGAGTGAGCTCCAGGTGTGGTGACAAGTTGAACTGGGGGTACAGTGAGGTGGATGGAGCAGGAGGATCTAAGAGAGCAGGAGGAGGTGGTGATGTGAAGGAGGTCAGACAGATATGGAGGAGCAAGGTTATAGATGGCTTTGAATGTATAAAGATGAATTTTGAATTTTATTCTAAATTGAACTGGGAGCCAATGGAGTTGCTGAAGGACAGGGGTAATATGATGAATAGAAGGGGTTCTGATAATAACATAACTTCCAACCCGATTAAAACCAAAAATTGTGATAGATTTTTCTATATTTGAATAAAAATTGCTATACTTTTCACCCTTCCTGGCTGATGAGGAGGTAATGTAATCAGTTCATACAGGTGTGTTGCGGCAGAGATCCATCTAAAACATACAGGACAATGAGACTTAAGGGGCGATTATGAAATCCACTGGTTTAGATCAAAGTGGCTGAGTAATAGTACCAATATTTAAGAAAAAAATATATTCACAAAAGCTCCTCTTAAGCTCTTCATTGCTGAATGAAGAAGCTTTTGTAGCATTTGTTTTTCGCTTTTGGTTTACTCTGACAAAAGTTTGTATTTCGACTTGCTTTTCCTGAAGCTTTTGTTTCTTTTTAAAATTTCTTTTAGACCTAATAAACACTGAAAGATCCACATCGAGTTTGGTCCATGTAATTAATCATGTGCATCATCCAACAGAGTTTCTGCAGGAGATGGAGCCTGGGGTAAACTGTGCCAAAAAGCTGCGCCTCCACATCAAGCAGGATCCATGGAACCTTCCCAACAGTGTTCAAAGTCTCACACAAACAATTTCTAAATATGTAGAAGGTAAGTGTCCACCTGAAAAGCTGTAAGCACCAAGACAATTATAAATCTACATGGTTTTAGCACTGTAGCTTATCAAATTTAGGCCTTATCTTCAAAGTTTTCAAGTAAGGGCTGCTAAGATGCAATTGTCTTTTTTTGTACACACAAAAATTGGGCTTGTTATGAATGATCTGCATATAAAGTTTGCTGTGTGAATATTAAGATTTACAAACCAGTTTGGTTCCATCTGTCAAAGTTGCGTTTTCTAAAAGGCAGTTAAAGAGCGGCCATAAAGGAAAGATGAGGTTCAAAGCCATGGAGGTGGATTTATAGTAGTATAAAAAAAATAATGATAATGTGAAATACTCTTTATAGCGCACCTCGTAGGCTGTCTCAAAGTGCTACAAACCAAAGTAAAAGATAAAACTAAATCAAACCACTCTTTTTCCACAGTTATGTTTTATCAAATCGAGGGAATAACAATTCCTTATTACAACAAATAACAGCTGCACATTTATGCCACTTGTTTCTTTTCGTATTCCTGTAGTATTGTTATTTTTGGCAGTCGATATATGTTTACATGTGCCCAGGATCACCTTCTGTCCTCTGGCATTGTACCAATGACACTGCAAAAAATAAAAAAGTTAGTAAGTAAATTTTTCTCAGAATAAGTTCAGGTAAGTGAGAAACTCTGAATTAGACAGTTTACAATGAAAATAAGAAAAAAAAAACAATCAAAGTTCAGTCTCTTGTTTCAAGTGCATATTATCTAATTATCATATTTTAGGGGAAAAACCACTTTCTATAGGCAGATTATTTTACTTTCCTACTCAAATGAAGGGTAGATACACTTATTTCAAGAAATGTATACACATTTCTAAATTATTGTTGCAGTGACAGATTTTTTTGCATGTCAGTTTGCACCTGAACTTTCATAAGTACTTAAAAAGACACTGAAACTGCTACCACAGTTTAGTTATACATTTAAGAAAATCAATTTGCAAGTGGTAAATATTTACATTTGAATATCCTCTATCCATGACTTTGGTCATTAGAATATGATCTGTATATTGATGAAGGCATACTTTGAGAAAAAAGGCTGCAAATGCTATTTGCTGAATTGCAAACATGAATCACTCTGCACTTTCCCCAAATATTTGTTCTACACTTACAAACACGTTTGCACCTATTTTAAGATGCATAAACCCCTTGAAGATCAGGTCCTTGGTTTCAAAAAGAAATGAACCAACAGACCTGGCTTTAAATTTCATGTACTTCAATGCTGTTAACAGACTGTTTCATCAAGAGCTGCTCTGCTCACTTTAAAATGTAAACCTATACCCATCCTGGGACCCATAAACTGGATCCATTAAGCTGAAATTAAAAGATAGCTGAGAATTGTGTGAGATTATTTAATTTTTGCCTAAAAAGAGAGTATTTATTACCAGCAGGAGGGTTTTGTTTTTGTTGACTTGCTGACTGACTGCACACACAGGCACAATACCAAGCACTAACAGCCTGCCACTCGACACTCCTGGGAAGGGTGAGCAGGTCGCCACAACTGAGAAAACACAAACAGAGTTATTATTAATACATCTCACAAGGCTGGCATTTTCAACAGCGTGGCCTCCTGTTTTATAACCTGGAGTCATTACTGTAAACAAATATGGATCCACGCTGTTATCTTTGTTTCTGCACATTGTTTTCTTCTGGCCCTCCACATGTAAAATAAACAGATGTTAATCTGGAACTGTGTTTTTCTGCATTAATTCATAGGGTCGAGGGGATCTAGTGGGCCTTTGAACTTTGCTCATACTGTTGAAGCTGTACACTTTTTTCATGTTAGCCATTTAATTGCCTTTAAGTTCCCACTGATATGCTTTTATCCTGTTTTCAGAGGTGAAGACGCGACTGCTTCTGGTTCTGCTGCAGTATACAGGTCTGTACCACTGTCTTTGGGAAGGATGACATTTTTGCTGCGTATTAACACAGAAATTCATTTTTCCATTGAATACAAACAGAATAGTAAAGTAGACCTCTCTCAGTGGAGAGTATCATGGTAGATGTTCCAATCTGAGCTGACTTTTTAAAAAGGTAACTGATGTATGTAATAAGTTGAAATGTTTACTTTCCATATTCATTTCAGTTGATAGTATATCTCTTGTATGAGTAGATTAATCCTTGAAGATATATATAAGATTGAGCTTCTCATCGACACTATGCAGCTCTGCAAAAACAAGGTTGAATTTGCTGGATAGCATCAAATGTCCACTGTTAAGCTTGGTGTAAAATGTGTGATGCTTTGGACCCCCTTTCTGAACAACCAGGACAGTTTAACCAAAAATCTTGCCGGCTCAGCTCAAAATACTAAAAATATGTGATAATTTGATCATTTTGCTAAACATTGATCCAAAACATAAGGACACATTGACACAGTTGTGTCTGGTCTGTAAAAAGGGGTTCTAAAATGTTCAGACAGTTGGCCTATATGTTCAAGCTAGGATTTATTTATTTATGTACTTTGATCATGTGGTTATGCTGCAGGGAGTTTTTTAAAGTCAATACCAATAGATATTGATCATGCTGCACTGTAGATTGTTTTATTATGTGTCTGTTTGTTTGTTTAAATCTAGCATAGTTATAATACTGATATTAATTATGAAGTACTGTAGCAGTGACTAAGGTTAATAAGACTTTGTATATGTCAGTACTGGGCAAAAAATAAGAGCAAAAAAAGCCTTAATGTGAACAAAGTAAAAACACATTACTTGGAATAAATAAGAATGTCTTTGATGTCTTTGTAAGGTTTTGGATATTGTATCAAAATTATGAGACAGTTACTATAAGGCTTTTTTTTTTCTTAAAAAGATAACTGAATTGATATATTTGTGTGGTTTTTTTCATTGATAGTAGCCAATGCATTTACTGATTCAGTGCATACAGTACCTTAAGCTTTCTATTGATCTGTGTTTTATGCTGCAATGAAGAATGTCAGACACTGATAAGATTTATGCATTACCTTCTACTTACCTCTCATTAAGCAGACAGCAAGCGCTAAAAAATGTAGCATTTAATTAATTTTCTCGCTATTTAACTTAAGAAAATGCAATAAAGCATCCAAACAATCTTAGAAATCTTTGCTAAAAAGTATCAAATCATTTCTCAGACACAAAACTACTAGTTATTTTTGCTTTATTTAGTCTTAGACAGTGTGTATCTCCCTGGATATAATGCAGGTCATTGATTTCACCTTTTTCAAGATAATTTCTAGTAAAATGTTTATGCTTGGTAACATCAAACTATTTAAGATGGTCTTAAGCATCCTTATTTGTAATTTCCTATTAGTGATTTTTTAATCTTAGTTCTGTTTTCAGTTCGCCTCTCTCTGCCTACAGTTCAGTCCTTTTTTTTCCTCTTTATGATGCATTTTCCTTTACTGTCTCCCATTTCTGTAGATTCAGAGATCCAGCTGCGTCGTGATATGGTTCTCTCTCAGTCTTTGGTTGCTGCGGTTTGTGCATTCTCAGAGCACCTGCTGGCTGTCCTGAACCAGGTCTGTTATACTGAAAATAAATCTTTCAGTATTAAGACAGGTTTTACTCATGTTGCCCTGAGTAACTGAATTATTTATGGCCTTTTATTTATTTTTTTTTTTTTGCCAGTTTAACAATGTAGGAATAGAACTGGACCAGGACTTTCCAGATCCTCAGGAGCTCCAGGAAACGCAGGAGGCCAGCCGTCGGTGGCTGGAGCAGATAGCCAGCGCTGGCCTGCTGCTTCACTTCCAGTCACTCCTGTCTCCCAATCTGGTAAGCTGTCGTTAACAGCAGCTAAGGAGTCCGATTGTATACAAATAATGATTTCGTTGCCAGCAACAATAAGGTCGATGTATCACATTCAAGTTCATATATCCTCTCTGTGCCTCATGCAACACCTCATAAAACTAGATTGCATGCATTATTTCACACCTAATCAGTTGATTTTTTTTGTTAGGCTTCCTTGATACTCATTAAGCATTTAACAGAATTTCTGTTTACTTTCTGAAAAACAATTCTTGGTGCCTAGCGATATAGAAAGTAAAAAAGATAATTTATATTTAATTGCTAAACAGTTTTCCCTGTCTAGAATTAAATCTACAAGCAACAAAGAAAAAAAAAAAAACACCAGAAAAGAAACTAATAATAAATGCACTTAATGTCCTGCTTTAAATCTCAGTAAACCTTACACCTACCTGCAGGATTTATTAGGCATTGATCATAAGAATGTAAACGATGAGATCTTCCAACCTCTATTACTGTAGATGTCTCTGCTCCAGCACACCTTAGTCAAACTATGAGCCATTATCAGGAGTCTGCATACTTCTGCTGTATTCTGAGCAGTTTTAAGCTCCCTTTCTAACCTGTTGGTTTTAGATCATGTGAATTTTAAACGTTGAAAGAAAAATGCACACCAATATGAAGTGACCAGTAAATGGATTTTCCAACGCATCACTTGGTAGCTGGATACGCTTTCTGATGTGCTTCTTGTTTTGTGAAATAGTCCTGTAGAAGCAAAAGGGCCTTAATCCTTCACTGCCGACATGTACAGCTCTCTGTATGGGGTCAACGGGGACAGGAAGAAACAGAAAGGAGGGTGAAAGAGACTTTGAATTAGGAAAACAAGAGGGCCTGCTGCCGTGACCAGAAGCAGATGTGTGCTTGTTTTTGCCTGATGAGCGGACACTAAAGAGGAAGCTCGTAGTCCCCTTCATTTGGAGATGTAAACAAATGCAAACAAGCCAAAACAAACATGGGACAGAAAAAAATATCTGTAAACAGCTATTTCTACCCTAAAGCCTTTACAAATTTTTGATAGTTGCTAATTAAGCCAGACGTTCTTAAAATCTTTAACTTCTGCTTAATTCACCGTATCAGGAAATCTTTCGGACCGTTTTTTTTTTATAGAATTTTCCTGCTTTTAAAAGTTGGCTTTACTCAGCCATTATATCAGAGCCATAATGTGGCTCTAGTGCTTTCATTCTGGAAAAAAGAGATTTAGAGATGAAATAAGGTTGGGCAATATGTAACAATTTTCCAACAAATATTCATCAATCCAACAAATGGTGATGGACGATATATTTCCTAGCGTGTCTTTTGCACCGCTGTAATATTGTTAAACACCTGCGCTCGCTGCTAAAACCCAATAGATTTTTTTAATTCATTATTTTTTTGTTTATCTGAATGTGCAGATTCAAGCAGACTAAAAGATTGTTTTTCCGTTAGTTTTCTTCGATAGAAAGCGCAAATCTTCACTGCAGGACAGATTTTTCCTTATCTGGTTTTTTTTTTTGTTCTTTAATTTAGTATTTTTGTGTTAGAATCAAATCCATAACAGATGGAGCAGTTTGTAAACATACACACACTAAAAAAAACAGCTCGTCTGGTTTGGTTTGGCTCTTTCTGTCGTAAGTAGATAAAATCGCTGCTGCACGGTGGAACTGGGGAAAAAGCTGAGTTTGTGTGTTCCTTTAAAAACAGCATTATCTTTTGTTGTTTTTTGTAGGCTGTGTCTTAACCTGTACGTCCCAAAAAAGAAACAAAAATAGCTCTTAAAAATAAATCTTTGAAGGGCTGAGTCTATTGACGATGGTCGATAGATTCATCCACTTGACCAACCTTAATATGAAACTGATATTTACAGATCATGTTTTTGAAGAACGTTCTATTGCATTTGCCAGATGATACTTTAGGCTTGAAGAGGGACTCCTGTAAAAGAATAATTCAGTTGTAAAAATGTCTTCCTCTTCAGACTGATGAACAGGCCATGCTGGAGGACACTCAGGTGGCATTGATTGATCTGGAGAAGGTCACCTTCTACTTCCAACAATTTGAGGGCGAACCAATGGTTGCAAGTATGCAGCGTTTTAACATACTACAGACGAGCATTTTTTTATATATATATATATATATTAAAGCTTAATGTTATGTCTTTAGAGGGTACATGTAGTGTGTGCTGTTCTTATTAACCCCTAACGTTTCTTTTTTTTGTGCCTTCTCTCAGATATGCCCATCTCCTACCAGGTGGAAGGCACTCGGCAGGCCCTGAAGGTCTATTTCTACCTCGAGAGTTACTACTTCACACATTTGCCTTACAGGCTAAAAAATGGAGGCGGTGTTAAAATCTACCCTGTCCTCTTTACACAAGGTAGAGTAAAAGGATTCTGATTTAGGAAAAGACCAAAGGCTGTTTGACAGAATATCAGAAACGGTGAATAACGCTGTGTTTTTCTTTTTAGCCCTGGAGAGCATGGAGGGATATTACTACAGAGACAATGTGTCAGTGGAGGAATATCAGGCCCAAATTAATGCTGCCTCTTTAGAGAAGGTCAAGCAGTACAACAAGAGACTCGGGTAAAGTATAACAGACACACACTGATAGTTATTGCCGCTCTCCTGTTGCCTGATGAAGCGGAGTTTTTCAAATGGGGTATAAATCAAGATGTCCTTCCTTTTCGGTGGGGTTGACTGTCAGAACTCAGCAGCAGCTGCACCTAAAGGTGATTGGCTGAGAGGAGCAAAGCTGGGCATGTCTTGCAATTGGCCGTAAACATACACCCAGCAGGGGCGGCAGTAGCTGGATGAGAAGGCACAGCATGCCACCAGGTTTGGTGCAGAGTCTCTGTGCTGCTGTTGTACTCAGTCACTTTACACCCCACTGCTCCTCCGCACACTGCAGACTCCCCGTGATTGGCCAGGTGCGATAAAAAAAAAAAAAAAAAAAAAAATGTGAGGAGGAACTTTAATTTGTTTAACTTCCTGGGCTGTATGAGAGGGGGGGGGGGGGGGGGGGTGTTCACTCTGAGGCAGAGAGACAAATGTCAGGGAGCTATCTAAGTTTTATCAAATGTGACTTTCTTTTTAAGCTGACTTCCCTTAATGAGCAGCTGAGAGGGTGACCAGTGGTCTCCAGTTTAACATTTACTGCAGCTTTTGCGGGTAATTAAAATGAAAAGCACAGTCCCACTTATAACAGGGCACATCATTGCAGTCTTTTGTTTTTTAAGATTTATAGTTAGGGCAGGCGCTGTGTCATCAGTGCCATCTCAGCATAGATGAATATGGATTCATTAGAATTTATTTCGTTATAATTAATAGCTTATTTGTCATGGTTAAGAGAGATAACTGGATCTCCCAGAACGTACTTGTTAAAAGCTAAACAAATCTTGCATATTGATTTATATTTTTGTGCAACAATAATCTATATCAGCTTTTTTAAATCATTTTCTTCTATTGCTAGTTTTATGGGACTCATATTTTTAGAAACTTTACATTTTATAGCTTTTTTAGACCACACATGTTGATCTAGTATCAGAAATCATTGTATATTATTCTGCTGGGGGAAACTGTGTTTTAATTCTTTAAAAACAAGACAAAATGATTGTGGAGTTAACATTCTAAGGCATCTAAAGCCTCCTATATTAGCAAATATAATAGTTAGTGGTACTAACTGTTAATTAGTCTTCTATGTTCTACAAGTCCCCAGTTGCTTCACAAAACCAGAAAGCTACCTGCTATAAACATGAATACATGTTTACACATGAATAAGTACCTATAGTTGCAAATGTATAGATCCATTCATGTGTGCTGGCATGTGCAATCCCGAAATGCCATGGCTTATTTATCATTAAACAATCTAGCAGTGCTCTGTCTCACTTATAAAAGTGAGATTTCATTTCTTTGTAAAGTCCATTATTAACTAGATGTTGTTGCAAATCTTATGTGGGAAATCTAACAGGCTTTTAATACTCTTCCCTCATTTGACCGTGATGCAGACTGGTGCATCAGGATGCAGATTTAGAGGGAGGGATCAGTAACAATCAGCAAAGTCCGTCACTTAATGCTACCGACATGTTCCCAATGTAATTCGACTTTTAATTTCACGTTACAAATGATGTTCAATTTATGATGTTGCATCTGCATGTTTGTCTAAGTTTAAAAAGCAATTTCTATTGCTGAAGAAATACATTTTAATAATATCAGATTTAACTAAAACTGCTATGTTTTTTTTTCAAATGCTATTAACTCATGAACCAAAATTAAAGTAAGATTATAAGTAAAGTTTGACACACTTAAAATTTAATCCATTTTGTATAATTTAATTGTTTGATTAGTTTGGCTAGTCTCTTGGCTTTGAAGCCTGACCTGGGATCTCTAGCCCCACCAAGTAAAGAGTCACTATCGTCCACAGTGTAAAACTTAAGGTAAATCCACTACCTAGATTTAAGCTTTGACCAATAGGGTGACATTTTAGCTAGTATTGTCAATATTGAATGATAAACAACAAACCAACTTTGCAGAATTTCAGCTGATGGAGTAAACCAAGACTACAGGCCACCTGAGGTGGTGCAACATTACACAGATACGAAGTGGCAAGAGCAAACTGACCAACTCTCTGTTATAGAACTCTGAATAACAACTGATAAGCCCTAAAGCTTCATTGTTAAACACATTGGTGAAGCCTTTGAACCTACTTTCTGTTCTGGGACTATTTGTACTTCAGGTCAACACCAAACTCTATCCTGTTGGTAAATCTAATAAATAGCTGGAATCTGTTTGGCTTTACATTTGTGCATATCTACCTTGGATTGCTAGTTCCTGTATAAATTCACCTGCAATGACAAAAGAAATAAAATAAATTGACAGCCAGGGCTCCAGCAGTAAAACAGAGTAGATGATTCTAACCAGACCTAGGAGAGTGTAGTGGGGGAGCCTAAAGGGTGCTACTGTAGGTAAAGAGGCACACTGGCTGTTTCCCACAGCGCTGCTGGTTTCAGCTAAATGTGCTGCAGCATACTGTAGAGCTCCTGGAGCTCAGTCTGAGTTGTTCAGGTCCTCTCTGCACCCCCGTCTCGTTCACTATTTGCAAAGGATGTTATAGCGGGGGGTGGGGGGTGTTTATCCAGGCAGCAAAAGAACTGATTTCCTGTCCTCCTTAGGATTGACTTCCTTAATGCATCAGTCAGTCATGTATTAATTTACAAAAATAACAAACAGAATAACAAATATCCGGGGCGCACAAACCACAACTAAACAACAGCGTAATTTGATTTTGTATTAATGGATTTCCATGTTTTGAATTTTTTTTTTACCTGTCCTAATGCAAAAATATCAAAGTGAAGAAATATAATCTGTATGTTTGTTTAAAATGGGCAAAAAATGAAAAATTGTGACAGATAGGACAAAAACGTAGGTGTAATTGTTGGCGTCAGCTTAAGCCCATTTTCAGCAGTGATAGGGAGGGAGGCTGGTCACAGGCTGTACACGTTGCCAGTAACCCAGACACACACCGGGTAAACACACTCAAGGGAAAGTTAGAGATACTGTTTGATCTAACAGTCAATTTTGTGAAATGAGGAATAAAGCTTGGATGATCCACCCACAGGGATGACACATAAACTGGCATGTTTTAAACCATTATTGGGTACTAAATAAGTCCTCCTTCCTGCAAGCCAATAAGGCTACCAACTTTGCCACCATGTTTGAGCTTTTTAGACAGAATTTATTTGTAATTTCACCTAAAATTAGCTACAGTAAAGGTTACATGAATCTGCTATACAAGAAAGGTTTATTTTTCTTAGCTAAGAAATTTCAAATTTTTTTTTTTTTTGTGAGGCTTTAAAGTCAAAGATTCTATTATGATGTCTTCTTTTGCTATCAATCACAAAATAGTGTGCAGACCATTTTATAAAATAGGAATATTATTTATAGATTAATTTATTTCAGGTACTAATTTGCTCATTTCATGAATTAAAACATAAAATTGCTTCGGACCTATAAGAACTCAATTTAATATGATAACTTGTACCATAAAGAAAAGCACACATATCTCCTACTTGAAGGTTAGTTTTTATAGAAACTTTAAGCCCCATGGAAATCATCTACTTGCAGATCAAACAGATGCAGATAAACATGCAGATGAAGTAGATTTTTACCTGTTAATCTTTAAACTTTTAGTTTTACATCTTTTTTATTCGAAGCAATTGAAAAGTAAGTAATGTCACCATGATTTTAGAAAAAAAAAAACCTAACCAGAATGATGTTGTGCTCCTGTGTATTTGTTTTAAATGTGGTTAAATCAATATGCTCCCTTAGTTCCCAGTAGTTAGTGGTTTCTCTGTGTGTATCATCACCAGTAGCTTGACTTTTGCCGGCTGCCATCCGTCTTACAGCTGACCACAGACCAAGCAGTGATCTCACTCAACTCCCCGACCTCAGGCACCTCGTTATCCTTGGAGCCGAGCCTGTGCAGTGTTGGGAAAAACCAACAGTCTATACTACTGCCAGAAGCTGACTGACAGACAGATGCATCGCTGAACTGAATGAACTGCAGGGCCATGCAGTTTGCTTTTGAGATACTTTAGGAATATTTTATATTTATAGATGATAAAAAGAAATTAAGAAATTACTTCTAATGTAAGGTCACATTTTTTTCTAAAAGATGTCTGGATTAATAGTACTAAGCTTCCTCAAGTTCCCACTCTCAGGTTGGGTATGGAAAACCAGGAAAGCTAAAGCAGTGCTGTTGGCATGTTTTACCTTTAAGGTAACGTCAGAGGATTTCAGCAAAAAGATGAAGATTACAGAGGGTATGCAGCAAAAAAAAATAAATTAACAGGACCATCTCTGAATGCATTTCTTTGAGGAGATGAATATTAGAAAACGTGTTACTTAAAGGAAGTCCAGTCAAAAAGGAATGATCATTGGATCATTATCTACACCTAAAACAAAAATGTTTGCCGTGATTTAATGAATTTAGCGCTAATCAGTAAAAATAAAATAAAAATGATCATTTTAATCACGATCATTGAGTCCGGGAGCGGCCATTTTTGCCCAAATGTAGTAACACCTCACTACTTCCGGCAGTGACGTCACTGTGTGGTAAGCCTAGGGCCATTCTCCCCGCTTTGCAAGCAAAATCAATGAATGGTGTAATACATCGGGTAAAAGTGAAAAAAAAGTTTGTCATTTCGCCTTTCCGATTCATGATCCTCCAGAGACGGGTTCGTCGTTGGATTGCCAACATGATTTGCCACAAACTTCTGGCCAGAGAAAAAACACGTAATATGTAGCCAACATTTCGAAGAAGGATGTTTTCTAGATGACTTGAATAATAGCGCGATCAACAGCCGATACCGCCCTGTGACGTCACATACCGTGAGGTGGCAGTAGTGCTCTTTGACAAACATGGATGTCTCCGGTAAATCACATTCAAATGAAATTACTCTTAATTAAAAACACTTATCATTTATTGGACAGTGTGTAATAATTTCATATTTAAAGTACTTTCAGTAGATTGAATTCTGAGTATGACCAGACTTTTCCTTTAATCACCTTTTGCTATTATTCATAGG